CCCCCACCCCCTTCCTGGAGCCATAGTTCATGGCCTCTGCCACATTTCTGGCCTTGGACCCTCCGCACAGCCCTTCGGAAGACGTGGATTCCACTTTATTTTTTTTAGAATATCTTGCAGCTTATTCAGAGAGAATTGCACCCATGCAGTTCTTACCTACCATGCACATCCTTACCTATTGATCATTTTCACAAGTTCTAAATGGTGGGGTTTTGACCTTAGAAATTGCAGGTAGATGAGATGTGGAGCTTCTAAACAAGAGTTCAAAATCTTCCCAAAGTTTGGCTCCCAACTTTTAGCAAGGAAGTTTATAAAATGGATCATATTTTCAATGTTTGGACAATGTGTTGTTTAAGAAAAAAAAATCAATTGTTTATTAATTACAAGTACCATGAGGCTGTGCTTTTTATTATAAACTAGCTGGGTGCTCCCGCCCTAAGCCCCAGCCCCACCTCTGTGGTTCCAACAGGAGAGCCAGTCTGCAACTGCAGAAACACCTGGCACAGCTGAAGTCAGTGTGATCTAGGCACGTAATGCTGCATCAGTCCCATGGGAAACGATGCCAGATGGGATCGCATCCAGGGGCCCCTTTTGCCTATTTTAGTGGACTCAAGGCTGCACACTGAGGGGCATAGTGTCAGGGGCCTCGGGCACCCTGCTTGCCACCCTTCTGTCCCGGATTTCTTTTCTAGCCACTTCACCTGCAGAATTCTTTTTTTTTTAAGCTGAGCCATCATCTCAGGCCGGGGAACCACTGTTGCTCAGAGCTCGCACTCCACCTGCAGAATTCTTCAACACTTCCATTTTGTGAGATCTGTGCACAACATCATCTAACCTCCGATTTTAACCAACCTAAAACCCAGAAAAATCACCTTAATTCCTTGCTGTTGCATAGCTGGCACCTGGAGCCTGGCTCCCTGCCTTGGCCCAGAATTATTTCAAAGCCTTTTGTTTTCTGATGTCAAGTCCCCAAAGATAGGGTTCTTGGGATTTTAGTGGTGGAAGGGACCTAGTCAGACTCCATGTGTTGTACACACGAGACTGAAGCCCAGACAGGTGACTGGATAGGTGGTCCCAGACCAGGCAGTGCTGGACTCGGGGTGAATAGCCTAAGATTCTTTTCTGCTCACTGCTGATGAAAGCTGTTAATATTTGCATGAACCCACAGACAGGCAGAAAGCAGAGGGACTCCAGACAGTCTACACAGCTGTCCCCAGAACAGGTAAATCCCGAGAAGAGGTAGAGAGAAGATTGCTTAGCTGTTTGGCAGGAGGAGGGAGGGGAGGACACAAGGTTCAGAAGCAGATTTCTGACTTACAAGGAACCTTGTGATGGGAGGTTTTCGCACTTTGCATTAGCATAGGGGTGATCTCTTGGTTCCCATGACAAATGGAGGCAGCAAAGGAAAGGAATGTGGTTGAGTTGTTGAAACTGGTGCCAATTGCTTTAGCTTCATTCACTTCTGAGGGGTTGGGGGGGACTGTCCAGGAATTTCCCCCAAATTTACCCAGCTTTGCATCTTTTGGTTAGTATTTAGGTTAGCTTGAGACCTTTAGATTTATTTGTTTAGAAAGACGAGCTCTTCTCTAGATGGAGGGACTTGCTTTGCTTTTAAGTTATTGGTCTCGAAGAAAGCAGATTGTCATCACTTGGTTTCAGCCTACCACAGCTGCTGGAAAAGGATTGCAGTGGGCAAAATTGGTCAAGTTATGAACCTGATCCCATTTTCCGTTCCTAAGGAGTCCATAAAACATGCCACATCAGAGCCATTTCTTTCTTTCTTTTAATTGGGGGAGGGGAACAGTGTTGGGGAATTGGGGAAGGGGAACAGCCAAGTTGTTGTCCTTCGGTCTTAGTTGTGGAGGGCGCAGCTAGCTCAGCTCCAAGTCCAGTTGGCATCTGGCTTCCCGGCAGCAGCTCACGGCCGCTCAGCTCAAGGTGCCGTGTTCAATCTTAGTTGCGGGTGGACATAGCCCACCATCCCATGAGGGAGTCAAACCGGCAACCTTGTTGTTAGGAGCGCGTGCTCTCACCAGCTGAGCCATCCTGCCACCTGTTGGCAGCTCAGCTCGGGTGCAGCTCACTGGCCCATGTGGGAATCGAACTGGGATCCCCTTGCTCAGAGATCACGCTCTTAACCAACTGAGCCACTCGGTCGGCCCCAAGCCATTTCTTAACAGTAGGACCGTCATAATAATCCTAAAGCTTCTTCCTGTTTCTGAATACAAACGTTCTTAGAGAAGCAGCCTCACCCCATGCTGGATTACACACCTCCCTATGAATGCTGTTGACCCTACATGGAGCAGGCCAGTTTACTGGACTGAGTCATTTGGGAGTTCATTTCCTAGTGGATGTGCTCCATGCAAAGACCGGTTAATAAAAACAACCTGGAAAAAGAGAGAAGCATTCTCACTCCTGCCCCAGGGCTATTTTTGTGTTTTAGTTTCAGCCTACTGGGAACTTTCTGGCCCTCCTTCCCTGTCCCTGCTTACACTCCAGAATGAGCTCCTGTTCTGTTCCACTCAGCATCTCGAGTCTCCCATCTTAGACCTCCAGGATACCTAGCCAAGGGGCTTGTGTGCTGTGCATGAGCAGGCCAGTACCAGGCCTGTGTTGGAGGCAGCCCCCGAGAAGGCTCGGGTTGGCCTCCTGCCTCTGCTTTTGCTGAAAGCTGTGTGGCCTTCAGCCCATCACGACCTCTTGTCTTCACCTGGGGATTAAGTGCTGCGTGTATGTGAGAGAACCCCCTTGGACACCACTTCCCTGCCTCCTGTTGCGTGTTGGCTGGCTTTCCCTCACCGCCAGGTGCACCCGAGGCACATTTAAGCTCTGCTCTTGAAAGCAATCCAGCAAACATTTACAGAGAGTGCTGCTAAGTGCCCTGCTCTGTGGAGGGATACTACGAGACTGGCCCAGTTTCTGTGCCAAGGAGCTGTCTCTCTTGAGAGCTCAGGTGGAGGTTGTGCCAACCCTTCTCTCTCTCCCCCTCCCAGTTCACTGGGCCCCAGGGAAATACAGAACATCACATAAAGCAATTCTGTCAGCACCGGCTGCCTCCCAGGGTCAACTCCTTGGAACAACTTGGCAGGAAGAAGAAAGACAAGAAGCTGGCTGACCTTCCCACTAGCTTTTGGCCATCGTTCCAGAATCTTAAGCCTGGCGCTTGCTTGAGTGCCTGGGAGAACCATGTTTTGCATGTTGCGCCTTGGTGGGGGGGAGGGTGGCAGCAAGCTGTGGTAGGAGGGTGATTGATACTGGCTCCTAACCTTGCTTCGTGTACTCAGAGGCTGGGTGGCAAGAGGGAACTTTTCTGGGTAATTAATCCAGGATACGGTGAAATCTCTTATGCCTTTGAAGTGACTCAGTTACAGTTCTGAATGAAACTGGACTGGACTGAGGGAGTTGGTTGTTTTTTCCTTTGATTTGGGGCGAAGGGGGTGGGAAAGGAAAGGAGGTTGCATTCACAGTTGACTACACTGCTCCCTCTCCCTGTAGGGGGGTGCTTGCTTCCTGGGAAGGGGGGTGGTTGGAAGCCTGGGATCCAGAGCACCCCTGTTGCTGTCCTCCCTGCCCCTGATCCCACATCTCTCATGAATGCCTGTCCTCTCTCTGGCCCCCAGGTGCTGCATCTGTACTGTGACACTTGCTCGGTGCCCATCTGCCGTGAGTGTACAATGGGCCGGCATGGGGGCCACAGCTTCATCTACCTCCAGGAGGCGCTGCAGGACTCGCGGGCACTCACCATCCAGCTGCTGGCCGATGCCCAGCAGGGCCGCCAGGCAATCCAGGTCAGTCATTCCCCACCTGTCTTCACCTGTTTGTTTCCCTTGTTTTTCTTTGCGCACAAAACATTTCCCATTGCCTTTCAAATGGCATGTACAGATTATCGGGCAGACGCCAGTGTGCTCCGGCCATGGAACAGTGACCCACGTGCGCTCATGTGATACCCAGGCAGCAACAATCCCTTGGGGGTAGGGTGGGGAGACCTCCCGTGGTCTTGTGATGATAAGAGGGATGAGGGATGTGGCAGGAGTTACGGGCCAGTTAGGGCTTGTTCCAGACAGTCTAGACTGGGTTTCCATTGCCTCATCCAACCCTCTCCCCAAATGCAAGAGGACATTAGTGGTCTTCAGACAGGACTGCAGACAGACTGGGAGCTTAATGTTTTTCAGACAGACACCTGTGCTGTTCAGATTTATTTACTTACAGGTGAGAAGTAAGTGAGCATGGGAAATTTTAAATAAGGGTTCAGAGTCTCAAACTCTTTCCTGGGTGATAAAGTCACGTCCTGGTAATTAAGACCTTTATTTCTGTTGAATCCCCATCCCATCCCTTTGGGGTTAGGAACACTTGTAACTTTAGGGCATTGCAAAGTTCTCATACGCAGGCAATACCGTGAGCCTGAGCTGATTTTGAATCTTCTTACCTGATCCAGGTAACAGGGTTTTAGGCAAACAAAAAATCATGAAATGTTTGCCTTGTCTTGTAAGATAAGCTTGAAAGTCAAGAAACATTGCTGATCCTTGAGCAGAAATTGAATAGGAAACTGTCGTTATTTACATTCTAGAGTATTTGAATAAGTGAATTGTTTTTAAAAATAGGATCTTTTTTGGAAATGGTCAAGAACTGACCTGTGTGCTTTATGGAAAGGGGGGGTGGGGTGGAAGAAAGGTTTAGATTTTAATAAGTTTCTCAGCAGCAGTCACATTTCGATGCATGATAATCTTTCTAATGAGTCAGATTATCTGCTATTCAATTCATAAGATTGGGAGTTGGAGTGCATTTCTGCAATGACTTATTCTGTTGTATTCTTCTGTCTTCAGAGTGCCTCTTGGTTGCTGTTAAATCTTGTTCACCAGCATCCCACTAGTGCGTAGTTCTGTTTTCTTTCTTTTCTGTTTCAATGTATCTGTATTCCCGTGGATGAAGCAGTTCGTGATCTCCATGTTTATGCCGCTACAGTTAGGACCTTGTCAAATGCCTACCCTATCAAACTGCTGGTGTCTGGGTCCTCCTGCTCCCCTAGCTTAGGTTATAATCTGATTAACCCCTTTCTGCCCTAGGAGATTGAGAACACTCGGGGCTTCCTCGAAAGAATTGCTGGTGCGCTTTGTGCTCTGCTGGCATCAGTTACTCTGGGGAGAAAAACGAGTTCTCGTGATTTGCTAGACTAGGCTTAAGGAGAAATGTGTGGTTAAAATGATAAAATCTGAGGGAAGTGGAAATTTGAGCTTTTAATGGAGAAAAGAGAGAAGGAAGAAGATTTGGACGGCCACACCCAACTTTCTAAAGGGAATGCAGGCAGTATTGGCTGAGAGTCTACTGTGTGAGTAGGGAAAAGAACCTAGGAGTGAAATTCAAAAATATTCGTCGGTACTGCTGAGCCTGACACTAACGTAAATGCTGGATCTCAGGGCATTTTGGCGGGGAAGGAGCCAGGTGACAGGTGAGTTCTTGGGATGAGTTGGGATGCTCAGTATGTTAACCTGTATGGCCACACCCAGCCACATCCGCTGGACATCAATTGTGTAGATTGTGAAAAGACTCCCTAGAAAGTCTTTGTGTAACCACGTGGGTGTGGCTGTGGCTGTGGCTGTTGGTGATAATGCTTTAAAACCCACATTCAGCTATTGATCTGAAGATCAGACACGTGGTTCTGTGTGATGCACGTTCCTATCAGATGCATCGACCATCCCTAGAAACAGTCTGGAGGCCCTCTGTGAAAGGAGAGCTTCGGGGTTCATACCTGTTAAGAAGTCCATGTGTGTTGGTAGAAAATATAGCCCCCTTTCCCCCCCGAGTTAATTCTGTGATGCCAGCACACACCTTTGGGGGCAGGTAGGGGAAGTCAAGGTAAAGATTGAAGACAAGTTAGCTTTGTTCAAAAACCAATTGCCGAGAAGCCAATTTCTTTCCACTTAAGCCACAGAAACCAGCTCTGTCTCCAAGGTCAGAAGGCTAGTGTAGTGTGATCCAGTGTTCATTGTGAACCAGTATTTTGCACATGGATTCCGTGTAGGGGTCAGGACAATCAGGTATGTGTCAGAGAAACTGAGTGAGAATGAGGAGGGGTCTGCATGTGTCAGCAGATATTTAACTGAGCCTCTGCTATGTCAGGGGAGAGCACTGTTCGGCGAGCTTCAGGTGGAGTCCCAACAATAGGAGTAAGGATTATTTAGCTACTTACATTTATAAAGAGTTTGTGATCACATTAAAAAACACCACACAGGGCCGGCCGAGTGGCGTGATGGTTAAGAACTGGCTTGGGATGCCAGGGGCCCCGGTTCGGATCCCACATACGAGGGCCAGTGACACTGCCCTCCACAGCTAAGATGCTGAACAACAGCTCAACTTGGAGCTGGGCTGCTGTGAGTTGCTGGCAACGGCCTAGGCTGCAGCCCCTGTGGCAGTGGGTTGCCATGGGCTACCATATGTAGCCAGCAGCCAGCGTGAGCGGCCAGCAGCCGCAGTGAGCAGCCCTCCAGAAGCCGGCGACTGATGTGCCTCGCCCGGGAAGAGCGCAATGATGGTGCCAACTTGGGCCAGTGAAGCAACGTCCTCCACAACTAGACTGAAGAACAAAAGGACAGCAACGTGTCTGTTCCCCTTCCCCAATTCCCCAGCTCTGTTCCCATCCCTCCAATTCCCCAATAAAAATCTTTTTAAAATAAATAAATAAATAAACACCACATTGTTAAGGTAAAATGAGCAAACTCTGAAATTGGTTCAAGAAAAATTATGCAAAAATCAGAAAACAATGCACAGAAAAAATAGTGGAAGAAGTAGAAATAGATCAAAATATTCATAGTGCTGTTTTCTTTTATGGTGGGACTGAGGCAACATTTTTTTCAGCTTTATGGAGGAAAATTGATAGACAATAAATTGCACATTTAAAGTGTACAGCATATGAGAACATCACCACGGTCAACATTATGAACATTTCTATCACCTCCAAAAGTTTACTTGTATCCGTATGATAAGCCAGCCCTCCCTGCTCCCATGTTCCAAGCAACCGCTCCTGCTTTCTGTTTAAGACTTCGTTTTGTTTTAATGAGTTAGGAAATGAATTTAACAATTACTAATAGGCCTTCACTCTGCTCCCAGAAAGTAGTGGTTTAAATAAATACTCAAGGTTTTATGTCCTATTAAAAGAAGATAACGGGTGGGAGAACCCTTCAGCTCTACCTCCATCATTCCTAGGTATTAACATTTATCCCTATGGCCCCAAATGGCTGCTGATACTCAAGCTATCACATCCATGTTCTGGCCAATTGCAAACAAGCAGGCACGCTTCTGCCTTATATAGAGATTTCCCAGAAACCTTGCATAATACTTGCTATATTCATTGGCCAAAAACCAATGTCATGACCACATCAGTTGCAAGGGAGTTTTATCCAAGCTCACTACAGCCTTAAATGTAATAGAGCTTCTGTTACTTTTCATCTGATGTTAGTAGTAAGTCAGTAGTCGTAATAAATGTGAAATGAATGATATAGACAACCAGCTGCCTTCTTTCTTTTTTTTTAAAGATTTTTATTGGGGGAATGGGAACAGCGCTGGGGAATTGGGGGAAGGGGAACAGACAAGTCGCTGTCATTTTTGTTCTTCAGTCTAGTTGTGG